TCCTCATGGCTCTGTGAGGTAGGGGAATGGTTCTGGTCTCTGTAGGTCAAATATAACTTCAGCTACTGGTGTGGCCATTTACTATGCAACAATCTCGGCAAGATATAGCTTCAGGGCTATATACCTGGGACTCCCACAGAAAATAATATCCAATGCTTTCAAAACACTTTGCCCCATACACCAATGGAGCAATATTGTAAATGACAGTAAATACATTAAAGAAAAAGGAACCTCATAACCAGTCCATCATCCAAACAAAGACCCAAAATTGATTCCATGCACCCACAAAACCCCCTGTTTATGAATGAAAAACGGTTTACACACGACTCGCAACCGATTTAGTTCGAACACTTCCGGAACAAGGAGGAACAAGTGCTTCACCGACGAATTTTGTTCGAACCACAACGCTATAAATGCTTCACCCACGTACTACAAATACTGTAATCGCTAACAGAACGTAAACACCTAACCTAACCTATATATGCATAATATGCTAATATATTATAATATTAATTTACATTTGAGAAAATTCCTATTTTGAATGAACAGCATCTTAAAATTTATGAATGCATTTGTGGGGTCAACCGCTGGATGTAATGGACTCGAGTCAAGGACGAGTTGTTCATAACATAGGGGGTGAATGCATTCAATGTGCAGGTCAGGGCCTAGCAAAATTTCACAAGTGGGATCAGATTAGTAGTCTGAGAGTAACACAACTGGTAGCTTTAATGGGGTCTTGTATACCAGTGTTGTGGATAGTTGTAAAAGGTAGCAAATAGCAGTGATAGTAGCGAATTGAGCACGAGTGCTTTTGTGACCATGTGGGGTTGGGATGTCTATCACTAATAAAACTGCACCTCATGAACAATGTCTTTAACCCTCAGACAGCGGCTATGAAGAAATGGTTATAACCGCCTATGCAAAAAAAACAAAACATAAAACAAACAAACAAATATTTTTGTGTTATAGAAACTTGTATGCAGAATGTAAGAAAAACACGAAAATAAGTGAATATTTATTGTTTCGCTGTGTGGAGGTGCTCTGCAAGGCTACGTCTGGCACATGTCAACGCCTGGTGCTAGACTTTGCTAACGCTTCCCGTTTTATCCTCGTATGTTTCAATAGTTGTTTTATCACTTGTTTTTCTTTACTTACATACACAGAGCTTTTATATCTATATTTCCATCATGTAAGTAAAACCCTGACAATGATTGTTTAATCCTTAAACGGTGCATCCTTAGGGGTCAAGAAGCAAAAAATATTCAAATTATGTAAAAATTACTTAAAAATGTTAAACAAATCTCCAACTTATTGGCTTCAGGGTCGTAAAACTTTCATTAAAATATTTTCAAAATATTGATTTTAATATTTTTTTAAAAGAAGAACATTTTGTTGATAATTAGAACAGCCCCTATTACCTGGAACTGATGGATGATGCAATAATAGTGATGCAAGCACCTGTCTGATGCACAAAGAAGAACAGTAGCAAGAAGTGTCCACAAAGTGGATATGCAGCTGGTGCCTTTATGGCATTGCTGAGTAATATATAACAACACAAAGAATAATGAATAAATGTTATTATTCTCTATCTTGTTATATATCATATAAGTACATTGCCGAATGTTTAATATTTGTTACTTTCCTCAATGCCAAATATTTATTTTTGGGGGGTAGGTGAATTTTTTTTTGTTTAAGTTTTTATTTTTTTTTTTTTTACTTTGTTTATTATCCAATTTTGTTTTAACCTTTACATGCTGGAGAGTGCATACCCTTCCCTTATACCTTATGTGAAGAAAGAATGAAATTTGTCAACAAACATCAGTCGCAACTCGCAGAACTTGGGACTTTGAATTTTTTTGGCTGATTTTTTTCAGAGATTTCAAGCTCTATTTTCTTTGTCTTTTTAGGTTGTTTTGGTGACTAGGGACCAGATTAGGGCATTTTCACTTATATAAAGTATACCCGAAATATATCCCCTAAATCATTATATTTATTATAATTATCCCTATATTTTGTTTATATGGGGGATTATTTTTTTGACACATTGACCTACAACTATCACATATTCAAGTACGAATGCCAAGCAATGTTTATTAATTAAAACATACAAGTAAATTAAAAAATTTGAACTGCCTTTATTCGTTGTCGATAACTTCAATTATCTATAAAACTAGAGTTTCAACTTTTGAGTGGCTTCTAAAATTTCAGTTTCTGAACGATTCTTACCATTTTGACATTGTGTGCTCTGCTGTCTGTTCTACAATCCCTAGAGAACGGATTTTTCATAAACCCTAAACGTTTGGAGCTATACATTTTTTTTTGGTCTAAATTTGCTGCATATTTCAAATGCCATAATGACAACTTGTTTACAGTAAAGTATACTGAAAACCTATATTCTAATTAAATGAAAATGATGATCATATGCTATTCTGAGAGCTTAATAACACCAAATGAACAACTGGCGATCATTTATATTTTCAAATCAAATTAATAAAATATAAAGTTTTTAATATTCAAATTTATAATTATTTTTGATCTTGTTTTTCAAGTTATGTTGGTGATCAAGTGACAAAGAGCATTTGCCGCGATTATGCAAAAAAAAATTGGAAAGTGCTTGTGCAAGTTTAAAAAACTGATGTTATGTCAAATTGAATGTGTGTTTTGCGCCATTTAACCATGGTGCTGCTTGGGCTCCAAATATGGCCCTCCCCTTGTGTGCAAGAAATAAATTCTTGGCAAATTTTTTTTTTTTTTTTAAATGTTAAATACCCTTTCCTGATCACAGATATGTTAAAAAAAAAGAAAAAAAAAGAAAAGATTGAAATTGTATTTACTTTGGCCACAGTGGGGTCCGGACAATAGTGTGTGATGTCACGATTTGGTGGTCGCCCGTGACAAACTCCAGAAGTCAGTCGCACACGATCTTCAACATGCGCGAGTTGCCACTAATATTTTTTTTTAATTTTTTGCATTTATTTCCAAATACATTTGTTTTGTTTTTTCTTGTCAGTCCTATGTATAATGAACACGTACACATTATGGCAGTAGAACATCCGTACTGTCCCAAGACAGTGTTATATGCGCCACAAATGTGTCCACATATATTTTGCTCATATATCCAATGTTTCGTGTTCATTTATGTATATTTACAATATATTTACACACTATCATACACTATATATATTCACTATCAACACACTCAGAACTCCGGGAATGTGAGCTGCCACACTCGCACTCCTCCAACTTCTTACTCGCCAACATTCCTCCTCCCACCATACTGTTATCATTTTTATTACACTATTTACACACGTTATGTATACGTATCTACACGATTTATTCACCATAACTATACAACTAAGCTGGTATTGTGTCCAAACAGCTCAGTGGCCACCATACACTGCATGAGAAATCCAACCCGTTCTCGCAAATTCGAAGGTCGGTGTTTTCTATGAATCTTTTTAAGGGTATCTATTATGTTAAGTATGTCACCTATGCACATATTTAATAAGTCAATATTGACTTATTAAATATGTGCATAGGTGACATACTTAACATAATAGATACCCTTAAAAAGATTCATAGAAAACACCGACCTTACCTAACCTACTTAGTATGTTAAGATAAGCATCTTATTGCTTCGTAATTACAATTATTACCTAACCTATAATAGGTATAGGTTAAGTAATAATTGTAATTACGAAGCAATAAGATGCTTATCTTAAGATACTAACAAGGTTAGGTAAGGTTGGTGTTTTCTATGAATCTTTTTAAGGGTATCTATTATGTTTAGTATATCACCTATGCACGTAGTTAATAAGTCAATATTGACTTTACGAATTTGCGAGAACGGGTTGGAGAAATCACATGGCAGACGACACTACGAGTGTGACGGCACCTCCCTCACCCAAATGGCTCTTCCCAACATATTCCTGTTGCTGTTATTACACTATATACACACATTGTATATACCGATGTACATGTGTGTTCACCATAGCAAACCACTAAGCTAGTATGGTGAGCAAAACAGAGTGGCTGCCACACACTACCGCTACCACAATTCCCTCCCCCTCTCACCAAAATTCCTCCTCCCACAATGTTACGCAGTCTTAATTATCACCACAATCCTGGTCACTAAATCATGTAAATGAATAAATGACCACAAGTTTATTTTGTATAGGAACGTAAGAAGTCGTATGAAAATTCCTAGATGGACGAAATAATGCTGTGGTGCTGTGGCTAGCACTGTGAACATCTTGAACAGCATTGATTCAGTGATATATGAACATTGTACACAGTCATTATCACACTCCGGGTCTTCTGTAATACTATTATGGCTAATGCCAGTTACGTATATATTTTGACATTAGGCGATGCTGTGGTCACAAGCTGAACAGCAGTGCTGTGAGCTCGTGCTGCGTGCACCAACCTTCGTGGCTCGCTCAGTATTGAGGCTCTAACACCCGAGAACGTTGCCCACGATTTAAACAAAAAAATGGCATCTGTTTACAAGAGCCCTGAGGAAGTCGATGTGAACCCCATGTAGCTGCGGGAGTTTTGAGTCATATGCTATAAGAGCCTGGAGCTGCACCCCCCATCGAGCACCTGCAAGCGCGTTGCGCAGTTCAGTGGTTAAGGGTTAAATCATTATCATAACTGCATTTCCCTAGTAACATTCACGGCGATAACTGCTTTTGTACCATGACGTGGCAAGTGGCAAGATTTTTTCATGGGTCAAGGTTAATTCCATTATATTAACATTAACCTATTATATCCTTATTTGTATGATACATGTAAAAACCCAGACAATAATTGTTTAAATCTTCCTATGATAACCACATTACCATGAATCAACAGTTGACGATAACTGCTGTTCAAGGATTAAATCTCTTATTTTCTTGAGGATGCATCTATTGTCAAAGTCATTCATTACTTAAAAAATAAAATTTACATACATTTAAACTGAATTCCAGCAATGCTTATTGTTGTTAAGGAAATTACACTTTTAAGTCAGCCTATTTTTATGGCATTATTTTATTGTCAATAATTTTTTTTACAGTACATACATTATTTGTATTGATTTATGTAACAAAATTCATTGCCATGAGTAACTTTTTACAGTAAAACTCATGATTATCTGATCTGTTTGGGACTTGGACATGGTCAGATACCTGGATGGACTACATATGAACATCTGTTTTTGGCTTGTAATTTGACTTTAAATGTAAATAACTATACTGTACAATACAATTAGCATGGCCAACATACTAAAAGGATTACAATTCTAATCATTGGTAAATCCCAGTAGCACAGTATGTTGCCTGCAGGTGAACAACACCATGCTGAACCAGACTGCAGAGCACCAAGGTCAGGTATAGGTAGGTAACCAACTTTGGCCTATCCTGATAAACGTCAATAATGAGACTCGTCAGATAATCAGACTTTTACTATACTGTATTACCATAAAATGGTTAGCAAAATTCTACTCATGATCTCCAGAAACCTATCCCCATGTAAAACTGGGGACCAGCTGTAGTTATTTAGCTTCAAATCAGCTCACTATATCATTTGACCTGTGTGTGTGTGTGTTTACTCAAATTGCTGCAATTCTAATCGGAACCATTATACATCAATAAAAAATAAATATTTCATGGTACTATAGCTGCCATATGGGAATATACAGCTCTGAAGCAATACAGTTCATTACAGTATATGATCCCAGGTCATACAACATACTTAAAGCTTACATCACTTAGTTGAAGTATTATTTATATAGTGACCAATAAACAATCTCGCCCAAAAGATTATATCAATAGTACAGTGAATTAGTCGAGTCTAAGGCATATACAGTACTGAACAGCATTTCAAAATCTGTTACAATTTATGTTTGGTGTTTTTTATGCATCATCCACTTGAAACTGAAAACTTAAAATTTAGAAAATTGGTTAATGAAAAACCATAACACACTACATCATGCCAATATAACTGTACAAGGCAAGTGAATTTTAAATACTGTAGTTTAGTGTGTATCCATCTGTCCAGACAGACCAGCACACAGATGGTACAGTGACATTCATATATAGAGCGATGATATGTACTTGTACACAAATAGTGGCAATGAACATAATTAGGTTAACAATGAATATTGTAAGGACAAAAAAAAAATAGATTTTTACCATCTTTGATGATCAGCACAAAGAGTATTAGAATTTAGGGTTATGCAAAAATAGTTACTATCACAAAGATGGTTAAGAGCTTAATTATGCAGCTGAAGAAAATACTCGTCCTTTACTCGACAGTCCTACAAGTTTCACCAGTTTACTCGTCACTTGTTAAAATATACAATCATTCATAGACAAGTGATTGGTATGAAAATATCACATTTTTGTAAAAGTTCATTAAAACAATTACTCCATTTTGCCATTAACAATGACATAAAACACAGTTCTGTTCATACAATACTGTATAGTAGATCATTTTTGAGATCACATAACCCATTACTAGTGTCTAGGATTAACACATGATGCCCTCGAGTATTAGTATATATTGTTATACAAGTATGACGCTCTTACCATTGAGATTGTCTTATCAGGGGAGCATGCTAATGGGTACATAGTATAAGCAATTAAATAAACTTTAGTATTCAATATACAGGACAATGAAACCTACATTTTAAATTAAATTTAATAAATTTCTGGTTGCATTTCATATTTATAAATCATATTTAAGATCAAATCACTTCTCATGACTACGTTACAATAACCTGAGACAAGTAAAGCTTCATTCATATGGAAGCTTAAACCGCAGTTTAGCAAAATATTGTAAGAAGCATAAGTTGGGTCCTGTGCAACTAAAGAAGATTGCTCTTCACTCATAACAAAAACTGACACAGCAATCATATCCTAGCAGCAAATAGTAAACCTTTGGCTTACATCTTCCTGCCAAGCAACACCCATTAGTCAACATGTTTAGGAACATCACACATGCTACAAGCTCATTTTGTTCAGTTAAGGGCAGTACGGCAGTTGATGATCAAGGCAGGAACTATATCTTCATAGTTATCCATTTTCACCCCCTAAGTCTATACACAAGAGACTTGATAAGGTCTCGCATGCGATTGGCTTCTTGTCTATCAACATAGCAGGTTCCTAGGGCAGTGCCCTCAACAGCCTGTGCAGCTGCTCGGTGAGCATAAGTCATAACAAAGGCCCCACAATCGTAACTATTGTCTTGCTGTGTACAATGGGCATCTACTAGTGATGCCGGTATATCCCTATTCAGGTAAGAATTTATTCTTTGTACAAGGCAGCGAGCATCACGATAATTGGCACCTCTTTGGGAATCATAGTGATACCACTTTGTGTCATACCTGCTGTAAACAAGGAGACTCCAATGGCTCCCTCCAGATGCAATGACTGATGAGTTGTCATTAACAGGTAGGAACATATAGTCCTTGAACCGTGCATTAAGAGGATCAAGAAATATAGGTAATTCATTAGCATCTCCCATCTTAATTAATTGTGTTACTTCTGGGCTAATAAACAACAGCCTAGATCTCCCACAGAAAATGTCATGCTGCAGATGCTCAAACCAGAAAGATATAAGAGAATCATTAAGCCAGTTACGACCCTCTAACAGTCTAAGATCTGATTCGTGGATCAAACAATCATGATAGCTGAGAATTACTCTGTCCCCCATACTTGTAGCACAATCTTTGATCCAATAATTACAAAACGTTTAAAATGGTCTTCCTCTTTCCTATTTATTCTGCACAATCCTGGTTGCAGGAACTTATCGTAATAAATTTTTACAATCCTTTTTCCTCACACTTTCTGAGTCTGTCCATGACCGTTTAATAAGTTAGTGGGTAGAGCAGCAGGAGTTGGGGCACCAGACACTGCTGTTGACTGAGAAACTGGGGTCTGTGAGCCTTGTTGATGAATTCCGGTTTCTAGAAGTTTCATACGCTTACGAGAGTAGTGTTGCCAGTGCAGTACAGTCTGATCGTCAATGAATTTACAGCATTGGCCATTAACAATTTCCTTTCTGAAGTTTTCGTGCTGCAGTAGATCCAGAAAGTAAAGGCACATGGGATACCTGTAAATAATATTGAATAGAATTAATCGTATTACAGTACAATATGTGCATAATATATCATTTACATTTACATGTAATAACCTAAGTGTGTAATTATATACACATGCATATTTATAACACTTGGAATGCAAGCATCACAATGTTTTACCCCACGGAGGTTAACACAGCAATATGTAATGACCAGTGTTGTTACCATTTTATAAATAGGCCAGATATAATATTTTGATTTCTACTACTGTATTAGTCAATATATTATTTGTAATTATTTAGTGAATACTGAATAGTGTAAAAGTTTACAAACCCTCTTAGATTTGTGGGCAGTAGTGAAAAAAATGCGTTACTACATCTTTGTGAACATATCGGTCCAATACGACTGCCTGCAGTTTTTTGTATACTACTTTCCCTCATGCTATCTTACAAATTTATATCCATTCCCCCCCCCCCCACCAGGAAAAAGAGAAGAGTGAGCCAAGTATGAAGTCCAAGAATTACACTTTACATCAGTTACAATATTTGTTCCTCTTGCAATACAAATCCTTAAAGACTTCATGTAAATGTACTGTACAAGTACTGAACCATAAATGTCTTACATAATATTGCCCAACACATAACATGAGAAGTACAAAGGTTTGGAAAATGAAAAGCATGAAGCCATAAAAAAAAAACACCTAGGCAGGAGAGCCCTAAATAGTAATACAGTACAACTATGAAGGAAGTGGGGGGGGGGGGAACTTAAACCCAATGATCAGTTTAAACAAATAACGGAGAAACAGCAAATTTGTTGCATCTCTACAAAAGATCCCCAAATTACTGTCTAAGTTCACTAATTCAGTTTGTGTGGGGCAAACTCCAAGCTGAATATCTGATTTTCCTGAATTTTGTACATATCAAAACACACTGTGATGAATAATTTTTTTCCCACACTGTTAATTTAAATTTACACATTATAAACATATATTTTTTTGTAAAGTTAGAAACCTCTAAAAGACAGCAATGAATGTAATGAAATGGCTCTTTCTGAGTGAGCCCCAGTGGTTCCTTGAAGAAACAGAAGAAAGAGAGGGACTCATTAGGGAGGAGGAGGAGGAGGAAACTGCAGGCAGTTAGAATGAAGATGAGACACTAGGCCGAGACACATGACCCAAGGCAATACCAGCAGGACGAGGCCCATAAACATTAGCTATTAGACCGCCAAAACCTCTGTGCTGGAATATCAGCCTAGGACATGTTGACAAAAACTGCAGTGAGAGCAGTGTACAGTATTTCTGAATATCATGAGCACAGTAGTAGACCAGGCAGGCAGACAGGCTGGACTTCATAACACTAAATTTTTATTATTTATTGGCAGGGATATTCCTGCATGACACTAGAAAACCTGGGAAATATTAATCTTACAACAGAAAACCAAGGAAACAATCAGCCCACAAAGCATCCACCGAGCCAGAATCTGTGGCATGGAGATAGTGGTGGAGAGATGCCACTGGGTACACCACATGATCCACCCCCTTAGCCTAACCAAGCAACATCCACAGAACCTCTCTGGAAGCCACCACACATTCTTTGCCAGAGGAGGAGATGGCTGCAGGCAACAAGGTGCCCACCAGGGCCAAATGGAAAAACACATTTCCCGAGAAGAGCATGAAGCTCATCAACCCTACAACCGGAGACGAAGAAAATTGCCTTATAAAAGGAATCCTGGACTGAAGGAGACACCATAAACTATGGAAAAGAAAGAAATGTGACTATGTGATCCAACGACCAAGCAGTTTCAGGCAGTGCATTAGCAGGCTGGTGACAATACACAAGACAGTTTCCGAAGCAGCACCTAGGAAGTATTGATACTGAACCTAAGCAGCATAGGTGTTACCAACAAACAGGCAGTATGGGTGAGGCAGAAAGATTAATTGGTGCTGCCCAGTGGCACAGCTGACAAACAGCCCTCAAACCTGCACAAGATGAAAGCAGGTTCAGAAGAGATATTCATATGGTCATACCGAAACCAAAGGGGATTTCCAAGGCCTGAAGAACTAGCCAAGCAGGACACCCAGGCACCGGTAACACTCGCCATATATAATAAGTAGGTCGACACAGCTTGGTTAACGTGGCTGTGAGGGCAGACCTTGGTGTTCTGGGTGAACAAGCACATGAACCACCAGTCCACATAAACCAGCCAAAATGCTGGTTTGCAACCCGAGGCCTAAACACAGGGACAGCATGACACCTAACTTACTCCAGACAAAGTCACTTCCCAGTGGTCTTCCCTCTAAAAGGGCGAGTGAACTTTGGAACACACCAGAGAAGAGAGAACTCATTGCAGGGGCAGTGCCAGGGAGCACACGCAGCTAAGCATCCTACAAACCAGGTCCACACAACACAAGTCCAACAAAAAAATATATATTGTGAAGCACTACTTAAACAAGAAACAACACCAACCAAATGGCCTCTGTAGGACAAAGTCCAAAGATGGCTGGAACTTTGCTTTGAAGCGGCAGGACCTGCATGGCTTCCTGACAACCCAGGAGCCCTACAGTGGATCTCCACATCAGTGACATAACTGGTGTAAGGGGGCTGGAGCAGACCGGGAGCTCCAGCTTCCCAACTAGCAGGGGTGGGGGGGGGGGTTAGTACTAACCAGTTCATGCTAATTCCAAGTTAATAAATTGTTTCTACAATATTGTCGCTCGAGTTTGTTTGCCAGTTTTGAGGTTTTAGTCTCGAATCCAGCCGTGGTGGTCTGCATTGGTTCAAAGACTTTCTGGATGCTTTTCCAGTGGGGCAAAGTGTCACCTGCTACCTGCACCTCTGAGGGAGCCACGTTCTGGTGCTGGTTCCTGGTAGGCCCGACAACTCCACAGCTGATGAGACCTAGTAGTTGGGAGCCATCTCAGCAAGATAGCTTCAGGGAGCCACAAGGACCCCCTCCCAAAATAGAACTCAATTACAGAAATTTCAACTTCCCTTGGTGGACTTGATAGCCGTCTATCACTCTGAGATTGGTATACTGTACTTTACAATAAAATACAAAAATGAAGTTCTATACATCTTATAACTGAAGGAATTTGAAGGAAGGAACTGTAAAATTCTTGTACAGGTGCTTGGCAAGCTTGGTTTTGACTGTCACCTGCTGAAGCTTTGTTGGTTGAAGGTTTTTGGCTTTCAAATCTTTCAAATATTGTGTATATCTACAGTACTTTGACCAGTCTAAATTCTTCATTGGCCTCCTTGATGAAAAGTTCCTTGCCCCACCTTGAAGAGTGGAAATAATCTTATAAAATATATATAGATAAAGGCACAATAATGTGGCTGAGGAAATGTTGACCAAACCACACACCAGAAGATGAAGAGACGACGACGTTTCGGTCCGTCCTGGACCTTTATCAAATCGACTGTGGTGAGACGAGGGAGGCACGGGCATAAGTAAGGCAAGAGAGGTGGAGGAGAAGGAAATCTCAGAGGACGGTAAGAACAAGGCAAAAGGTACGAAAGGGATAGGTGTAATAATAGGAGTAAGAGTGGGAACGTAAGAAAAAGAGAAAAAAGGATGGGTAGGCTTATGTTAGGTCATGTTTGTTAGAAAGTTTAGAACATTTGAGTGTGTACTGTGAAAGGGAAGAGTTGACAGAAACAAAGCCAGGACTAAGATTCATGATGGGTAGGTTGTGTATTAGAGCTGTTTCGACAAGACGGTGTCTGTGAAGAGTAGAGGCAGGAAAGATTTTAGAAGACCAATCAATAGGATGATTAGAATCCCTAACATGACAGAAGAGAGCATTGTTTGTGTCTACAGACTTAACACTTCTTTTGTGTTCCCTAAGTCTGTCATTTAGTGTACGGCCAGTTTCCCCAAAGTATTGGAGAGGACAAGACGAACAGGAAACGGAGTAGACATCAGCAGCATTAGAAGCAGGAGAAGTGTAAACCATATTAATTCGAAGAGTATTATTTTGTAGAAAGGCACGCTTTATGCCAAGAGGACGAAGGATATTCTAAGAGTTTCGAGTTCAGATATGAAGGGAAGGTTGAGCACAGTGCTAATAGTGTTGGAAGCAGGTTTAGGATGAAAGAAATTTTGTTTAGCTTGAGAATAGGCAAGCACAGTTGATAAAATGTAAGTGGTAACCAAGACGAGAGAGATTTGTTAATAAAGGAAATTTCAGAATCAAGAAATGGAGGGTCACTGATGCGTAGAGCGAGGAGGAAGAGAGACGAGGACACGATCAACTTGATAATGCTCCAGAACGGACTGAAACGTCGGCTCTATCTTCTAGTGTGAGGTTTGGTCAACGTTATAAAGAATAGATTCTCGGTGTTAGAACGATAAGGATATTGTATTTTTCCATTAGTGCACTAGCATAAGGAAGGTACTTTTATGGAGAATGTTTTTTGATGAATACTGTACGTGAAATAACGGTTGGATTGGCAAGAGTTACGTTTCGAAACTCCTACCAGTTCTGCAGCTTTTCTGCACATGTGCAATGGCATAACTACAGTGGGAGAACCCTCACTAAAAAGATATATAAACAAGTACTTAACATTGAGAGTCTAACAAGTACATTCTGTGACTGGAAAGCATGTTGAAAATGTGTGTTAAATGTGGAAAACCAGTTTAAACAAAATGAGAAATGAAAAGGAATAAGATGTGAATGCAAAAACATTGGGAAGCTGTAGTGGACGAGTGTAAAACACACACCAACATTTGGCCTCTACTCTGCAGCTTGTGGAACCATTGGGATGTTCATCCCATGCTAGCTCAAGTTTAGTGCTCATTCCATATGTTAACTAGGGCCGTGACAAACTTATTGTATTTGTGGTGCTATCATTTAAACTAGCTAGGTATAGAATTCTTTATTTACATGTCCCAATGGTGGCTGGTAATTGTGCGTAATTCTCCGTATTTTGTGTAGACCATGATCAACATGTTTGGTATTCTGGGTCATGTGGTTTGTTAAATGTTGTTCATTCACATTGTATAATTTAAAGTGTAAAACAGACAACTGTGG